CCTACCTACTAAACTGGGCGAAAACTAGAAATAAAAAATATCAAGAGGCGAAGATACACTTAAATCCTGAAAAATATATTGGCTAAATGGGGAATATGCATAAAAATAGCCTAAGTTGCACCACCTTAACGTTAACCGTAACTATAACTTTAACCGGTGTTTTTGTATGAAGTTTCATGGACTTTTGACGTTTGTTATAGTTTATGTAAGATGGTGCTACCTAGAGTTTGTATAAGAAATTTGAAGTTAAAATAAGGGCTTTTTTCTCAACAATTTACCTTTCATACAAAGCTAGATTGCAATGGTTATGTATTTATATTATACTCGGCTGGATCAATAACAATAAATAACACTGACCCTGCCAGATTGCTTCAAATACCAATACATATCAAAGATAGATAATAACACTTCATAGTATGTCAAAACAAGTGACAATCCCATACTTGCTTATGCATGCGGTTGCATTGGCTTAGGCTACAGTTGTAGACAATCGATTAGGCAACCTGCACTACTCTGAAATCTAGATATAATTAGGCCTGATGTGCGCTTGCGATTTTGTCTGATAAAAGTCAAAGTTAAATTTAAATTTTTCGATTTTGAATATAAAAAGAAATAAAAACTTATTTTAAGTTGAAAATTCGAAAGCGAATTGAATTCTAATGATGCTTTTATAATAGCTTTACTATGTCTATCCAGCCCATGCCAAACCCATGGAAATTTGAATAATGTTAATAGTTTGGCTGTTTTCGTTTATAAAATTCTGTTATTAAACTCTTCAAAATAACTTTTCTGTCGCCTTATAAGGTAGAGTCGACAATAATTTTGTTACAAAATCGTACCTATCACTACAACATAAAATGGACACAATGTTTGTATATCTTGATAAGCTATCTATATCTATCCACATTCATACTATCGTATCGTTAATTTAGGCCCTTACTACACAATATGGGTGTCTCAAAAGTCTCACTCGTGTGGCCAGCCTTAACTTGCGTCATGCTTTATTTGGGTTACTGTAACCAGTTCCAGCCTTTTTTGCCTCGTAATTAATGACGTCCACACAGATGGGCCGGTGTGCTGATAACATCGTGGTTTGGAAGACTAACTCTTAATATGATTTTGATTTCGAATTTGTACACTCTCGCTTGCATTGGAGTTAAAATGAAAGAAGTTCGAAGTTTGTGTGAATAAGTATTTTGTAGTTAGGTCAAGAAGACACGAATCGTAATTATTTACCTTTGCAGGTATTTTGGTAACGTCCCACTTCACGTTTAAATCCTAGATATACTTAGTGGAGCTAATTGAGGCGATAATAGCGCAACGCGGTGGGATTTAAAGAAGGCTAGTTCTTCACTCAGTTCGCTCCCAATGATCACTGCACTAAGTGGTAAGCAAACTCAATCCTAGCTAGATCTATTAGGTTTCTTTAACTTACTTAACCTTTAGGATTACCAGATATATACCAGAATATCTACCTAACCTGAAAAAAACTGAGGTTCCTTGAAAGAGGCTGAGAATCTGTTCAATACCAAAGTCCCAATCCAGAAGTCTGTGACCTCCAATCCAGAAATCTTGGATTTGGTTCCTAGTACAATCAGGATATTTGTAGACACTAACTTGATGAACCAAATAAGTTATTTAACGTAATTTATTAGTTGGCCTTTCTTAGGTCACAAATCGATTTCATACGAAGCCAGCCAGGTGCGAAGTCTATATCTGTATTCTACAAAAGTGCAAACAATAAGTTCTCGACAATGGCCGACTGTATGCGCGCGCATAATAACGTGTTGCGTGATGCTGAATGTATTACGGCGACAATAAACGCTGACTTGTCTGTGGAGGTGGGTTTATATGCCACGAGGCGACAAAAAAAAGACAAAAAGTCATTTCATCATCATCATTTCAGCCACAGGACGTCCATTACTGAACATACTCGTAGGCCTCCCCTAATGATTTCCACAAAGGCCGGTTGGTAGCGGCCTGTACCTTCCTGCTACCTATATGAGGTCGTCGGTCCACCTTGTGGGTGGACGTCCTACGCTGCGCGTTCCGGTACGTGGTCTCAACTCCAGAACCTTTTGCTGCTCCATCGGCCGTCAGTTCTACGTACTATGTGCCCTGTTGCCACTTCAGCTTGCTAATCCGTAGGGCTATGTCAGCGACTGTTGTTCGTTTACGGATCTCCTCATTTCTGATTCGATCTCGTAAGAAACACTAACCATAAAGTAATTTATTTGGTTAATTTATTTACCTACCGAGTTTCTCGTAATTAATAAAAAAATGTGAATTTAAATTAAAAAATAAATTAACTTTTCGTTTTGTAGAGAAGGAAGAAGGAAATTCTCAAATAGGTATTTTAAATAGCTGAAATGCTGAATTAAGTATGTAGGTATTTCGTAATAATTATGCCTAAGTATGACTTAAAACATTATTAATTATTTACCAATTAAGAATACCTTCCTTATAGATGCATGTAACAATAGATTGATACTTAAAACGTATGGCTTTTCCTCTTCCTAAAAATGTATTTCAAAAATTAATAATAAGTTATTCCACTCCATTATGCCTATTATGAATAAAATGTGTAGGCTTCAATGATTTAGGTTCTAAGTATTATAATAATAAAACTACGTGTAGGTAAATCAAAGCCTTATTCAGATTACCTTATAAATACTGAATTATATTAGTTGACAGGCTATATCTTAAGGTAACAATACCTTCACTATGCTATACGACGTGACACACTTTCGTGGCGTATTTTGACGTAAGATAATTTATGACAACGTGACGTTACAATATCATTACTTCCCTCTATAAACGTCATGTGTAAACCGCCCTCGGGCACATAAGTTACAATTCGCTTAGCCACATTAAATATGGGTTCAGTAGGTTTGCTAATAAAGACTTATTTTTAGAATAGAATAGGATTTACTTGCATTAAAATAATAATTGGTACAGTTTAAACGCTATTTATTTAGCTGAGATATATGTTCGGAGATGTGATTCTTATTTTTTGCTTCGTCCGTTGAAAAAATATCTTTAGTATCCACTTGAAATAGAGCAAGTACTGCGCCCTAGTATAAGCGCCCTGGAAAAGACCCAAGTACCGACTTTGACTGATGATAGCATAATCGATCAAGGTTATCAATATAGGGAGGTATTATTTTGGACCAAGAACGTATTTACTTTTCAATAGGATAAATATTTTTGTAACGTACTTAGTGTTTCTGAATATTTAGTTATAACTAACCCCTGGTACTCACAAACTCACAGGATTCTCGCTTTGTAAAGGTAGCTTTTCGAACTAAGCGTCACAGACGCAGCGTCTTTAGCTTTGGTCTTTAGTGCCACCAACGCCGCGTCACTAACGCCGCGACAGTGTCGCTGCGTTCGAAAGACGTTCCCTAGAATTTCATACATTTGCATAGAACATCTATTTGTCGCTCTGTCGCGGCGTCACAGTCGCGGCACCACTGACGCTATAGACGTTCGCTTCGAAAGGCTACCTTTAGTAGGAAGTTGAGTTACCATGTATATTTATACTGTGGCAGGTCCTTTTATTAGGCCTTAAGTTATGCCACGGTTAATGGTGTAAGGGCAAGGCAGCGTGTGGCAAATGTTTTGCCTCACAATCAGCTTTTATGACTAAGTATTATGACTAAATGAATAGCAAGACGCGGAAGAGTCCCTCATAAATCCTACTATACTTTGTAAGGAATAGGATTTAGACAAATTTATTATTAGTGCTCAAATTAATAACTCTTTGATAAGAGGTACCAATATACTCATTTTGCTGTTTATTGGTGCTATACGTTTCTATAAATTTACTGTTAACTGGTAGGCCGTAAGGCTCAGTATATTTAAGTATGTAAAGATCACTTCTTAAATTCCAAGCAAATTATTTTGCTGTTGATATACAGTCATTGTGAGACTACATCTCCCTAAGTCATACCTGATAGCACAAACTATCAAATACTTTAGCAGGCCTGGCTCACTCCGCGCGGTACATCCAATAATTACCTACAGCGAAGCGCCCCGCCGGCGGGTATTACATCAGTCGAGTGTCACGCGCGCGCCCGTCAGGACGCTGGCGTGCGTTGTAGTACGTACCTAATTCTATGATCGAAGTATTATTTAAAAATGGACATAAAGAGAAAGACATATTGTGCGGCGTTCGGGTGTTTAAATTCGAAAAGAAATCTACCGGATTTATCTTTTTTTTCGCTTCCCAGAGATGCTGAAAGGTATGTTATCCATGTAGGTAATCAATAATTCTTAGGATAGTATAGGAACCTTAGATTAATAAAGCCAATAATTAATCTAAGATAAGAACCTAACCTACCATGACTACTGCTCAGAATGCGTTCGTTCGTTTCAGCCAAATGACGTCCACTGCTGGACAAAGGCCTCTCCCAAGGTTTTCCATAATGAATGCGTATGAGTCATGAATGCTACATCTACCTCATTACATATAAGAAGATTAATTATTTTTTCACTAGACAGCAACCCTAACAGCGTAAGAAGAGTTCAGAGGCACGCGATAGAATGAGACAAAACTTGTAGGTGAATAAAATTGTAGGTACGTAGTGCTGTGCGAGCTGAATTCCACTTTATCGCGTCGTAGCAAGACTCGCATTTATTTAAATCGTCTTGCGGAGTAATCCTTCTGTACCTGTACTATTACTTATTCTGTGACTTTAGTCTTGCTCTGTCTCAACATTGCGGTATTTTGGACGAGAAAATCACAATCCAGACGAAAAAAATTCTTAACAATGTTTTACAATTGTAACAACAATGTTCACCTACGTTATCCTCTAGGAAACAAATTCATCAATATCAGGCCTCCCCAACCCCTCTTGTCAGCGTGGGGAGCATAAGCTAAATTCTCCATTGCCTCTGGCAAATTAGAGAGAGCGTACTCCTGCAGTGGATACCTGATGATAATGATGATTAATAATGCAATGATTTCACCAAACTTACCATGATCCCTTAATTTCCAGGAGCTCTTCGTGCCTATCAACACCAAGGGGGAACTCTACGAGGTGTGCCCTGAAGAACTGTCGCCTGCAGAGTGGGGCTCCGCGGGAGAGGGCCCGGCCTCCGCCCCGCCTCCTGATGCGGCAGCGAAGGCCCACCGGCTCCCTCACCTGTTGAGCCTGTGGAGGCTGCCGACGAGGGTCCGGCTGCTGGCTGGGACTGTACCTATTGAGATGGCACACGATGTTGGAGGTTGGTACTTGAATATGGATTATGGATTGTCTGGGAGTAATACAAACATTTCTCAAATATTGAAGGTGGTTGAAGGTAGATTGGTACTTGGTACGATCTCTTTAACCGCCTCTGTGGTCTAGTGGGTAGACCACCTGCTTCCCGGGTTCGATTCCTAGTGGGGGCATATTTTTCTGTTCGGTTTGGTTGGTGGTAGGGCTTGTTCTAAGTCCGCCTGGCTAGCTACCACCATCTTACCTAAGTCTGTCGCCATAACAACAATGTTAACAGCATTGTTGTGATCCGGCAGTTAGAGGTAAGATAGCCAGTTCCTCCGTGGTTGAGGATTCCGGGTGAAGCTCGCTTCCACCTTCGGCCTGATCATCATTTACCATCAGGTGAGATACAGGCCAAGAGCTTCCTCGTTGTGGATAAAAAAAAACTTTTTCCAGCAGAAATTGCAAATCATTGCAAATGTTGGTTCTTTTTTAATAGAAACTGGTATAAAAATGTCTTCATTTCCATTTTCAGACGATCTTCTACTGCGGGCGGCGGTGACGGAACCGGTGCTGGTGATGTGCACGCTCCCCGAATACAACTCCCTGCCCTCCAGCCCGAGCAAGCAGGTCGACCCTCGCTACCACGCCAAGGAGGCTCTCCAACTCCTCCCATTAAACAGCACGGTCAAGGTCCGCCGCACCCAACTCGGCTTCGAAAACGAAAAGCGAATGTTCCTCTCCGCCCGTCTCCAGAAAGCACTAACCTTCTGTCAACTCAACGTTGACAACTGGATCAGGCAAATCTCCTACGCTAACAACGCAGTGGTTGGCAAAGCGAAGACAGCTGAGGATCTCATGAAAGAAGAACATGAACCCATCAAGTTTGAGAAAGAAAAGAAGTTTACGCTGCAAGGATTGAAAATAGACACGTCTAGGCTATTTGGGAAAAGCGATAAGGTGTTGAAGGATATCCCGGATGAAACTGAAGGGTCCATTATATTTTTGAGTAAAAACGAATTGGAACATATGAATTATGACGTCTATAGTGATGATGAGGGAAAAGACGATAAGAGTGAAGATAAAGTGGAGCACGAACACTTCTCCAGTGATAAAATGCAGGTGTTCAGGGAAGATTCAGGGCAGAAGAAGAGCAAATGGTTCAAAAACCTAAAACTGTTAAAGAGTACGGAGAAACTAGATGAAAAGATAACAGCAATAGAAAACACTGAGAAGTTGAGAGACTTCAAAGATCCGTTTGATCCTTTAGGGGAAAAACACAGTTCTATAGAGAGGTATCAAGACATGGCTAAACTAATCGAAGACAGATTTGGTGGGTCGAGGAAAAATGACAGTACAGCGGAAAAGAGCCATTCTTATAAGAGTCTTACTACGTCATCTTCTGACATGGGCACAAGTCAGTGCAGCTCTAACCATAAAAAACCAGTGTTAACAAAATCTGTATCTGTCCAAACAGGAATGCCAGATGGCACTTACACCCCCGAAGAAGACAGCGGAATCAACATGAAACATGGCCGCAAAAATCTTAGCGTTGATCAAATTAACTACTGTGGTTCCATGGAAAGTGACACCAGTTCTGGAAGAAAACTGAAATCTCTGGATGAGAACATGCTCAAAAAATCAATGGCCACAAAATCGTCGACGAATTTGGAAAGGCGACAGAGGATACAACCAGATTTGATTCCAGAAAAGGCCATGGTCAAGTCAGAATCTTACAATCAGATTCAGAGCTGCGAAGAAATAAACATGTTCGGAGTTGGATCGCTATACAACGATAGTGACTTCGAAATTAATTACAAGCAGCATTCCTACATAACAGAGAAGCTTTGTTCAGAATTCCACGTGAAAACTAAAAGGGTTTTGAGCAAGTCTACTTCGAACCTGCTGCATCCTAAAAAACTGACGGACAAAAAGGAGGGTAGCAACAGCAACAGTATGCCGACCAAAACCGAACGAACGAACGACGACAAACTCTCTAATTTTAGGAAGAAAATCGACAAACCTAGAGCACCAACGCCCAAATCTGAAATAGAGGAAGATCTCACTCCTATTGACATTTCCGAAGAAGAGCCTCATGTCCAAGTAAAGATAAGGCGGTCGATATCTTCTATACAAAAGCGTAAATTGCCTGTGATAGAAGATTTACCTTACGGACAAGTGGCAGACGCTGTTGAAATCGAAGAAGAAAAGGCAGTCTCTGATGCTAGCTCTGACAACATTTACGCAGAGATTTGCACTCCGAACGGCAACAAGACAAGCGATGAAGAAAACTACGATAACAACGTAGATATACTGGCTACGGACCCTGTGATTTGTAACGTTAAGAAAGAAGTGATAATAAGAAACGACGAGCGAGCGAGACAGATGATAGAGAACCAAGAGAATCCTTTCAGACATATCGAAGTGGTGGTCATAGAGAAAACCACAGACTTTGATTTAGATAATTCGAGCGTTACGTCCAGTGAGCTAGACGATTTAGGCAGCAAGAACGACGTGTCTATCATCGATTCTTGGGAGCGAGATAAGGTTACTCTCTCGGATCAGAAAGTCCATGCGATCAGACTAGAAATAACCAGCAATATGGACGACTATCCGATTGATAACGAACAGAATATAGATAGGACAGACGTTTTGATAAGCAAAGACAATTTGAGCTTTAGTAACAGCATACACTTGAATGGTACTTACCCTACAGAGGCCATCTACGATACTTTAAAATAGTTTTAGACATGATATCACAATTTTTGTGCAGTCACGATGTAGATTTTTAAGCGAAAATGTTGTATAATATTTGTCTAAAAAGTCAAATGTAATACCATTTTCGGAGGTTCACTACAGCTTTTCATTATTTTATTGTATCAATAATTTTTAGCGCAATGATATAATTTTAGCAATATTTTGTATGCCATTAACATAAACTGTTGAAGAAAATCTGAAATTTCTAGTTACAGATTACCTCTTCAGAGAAAATATACAGAAATGTATAAATAAACATCACAATGTAATAGAACTTATGTATAAGTTATGACCTAATTATAGAACGTAAGACTTTTTAGACAACTACCCTACCTATGTACTTAGTAACCACTAATTAAAGTATAATATTGACACGAAGTGTACCAAGGGAGTGTTGCACACTATAGCATTACTATAGCACCTTATTAGGTACCAGAGTGCAATAAAACTATGTGCTTTCAAATATATGCGATCAAATTTAAAAATTAAAGCTATTGGTTCAACATCGAATCAACAGGTGACTAGAATGACTGGTAGAGAACGATGTAAAGCATTAAGTCCGCCTTAGACAAATACTTCTGCTATAGATTCGACTTCAAATCAATCTAAAGGTGCAAGTAAAATTTCCAGACCCGTATTCTAGAATGACTGGTAGAGAATGCTAAGGCATTAAGTCCGCCAATCGTACTTTATTTCTGCAATAAAGTTTGAATAAATTAGGCTTACATCTACTTAAGTTCGAATTCAATTATTATCAAGCCTTTGGTTGGCTGAATTTCAATAAGCATTTGACTCAAGTATTTTTTAATTTAGATTCACAGTTGAGTGTCATTTTATGATACGGGTCTCAATTTCAAGTTCCGAATCTCAGCAAATAAATGAAAATGGTCACATATATTTGAAGGACACGATAATAATAATTCATTTATTATTCAACAGTCTTATTAACATAATTATAGCCTACTCCGACAACTGATAGCAAAATGTATAAGCCTATTATAAATTTATGCGATTTGTCATAAATGTTACTGAATAGAATACATAATTCATAATTATACGAACCGCGCGGATTAATTACCATACTTTGGAGATGATTTACATATACTCCTCAAATATAATTTTGCACCTTTAAAAATACATTAATATAAACACCCTTATTTTAGATATAAATAAAATCCTTTTTACTTAAAAAATCGTAAATTGGAATGTTATCAAATAAAATAACTAAAGTAAATTGTAATTTAAAAAATCCATAAATCATTTTGGTGAAAACACAAAAACTTGTTTTTTTTAATATCATTCTAAATGGTATCTAGAATAAGGGTGTATTGCCGTGTTTAAAAAAAATAGGTATTAATATCTTCCCTATTGATCCAAGATATCAAAAACAGATATTGGTGCTATATTTGGTGCTCAAAAACTAGGATATTTAACCTTAAGTTTCACATATCACATGACAATTTTGTAAATTGATTGTACCATATAGATATAGTGTTGTGTAAAAATAAAATTCGTTGTAAGTCTGACGCTCTCCATGGAAAATTTATCCATGAAATTAATATTACGGAAATTCAAAAATATAAAAATTATCAAAATAATTAAACTTCTTTTCTTTTATGTTTATGTTCCTACTTGTATTTTAGAATAGAAACCAAAGATTTGAGTCTGACTTAAGTTGAATTTTATTGCAATTGGATTCAGGTTGAAAATTGTTTTCATTTGAACTGGCATCACAATTTGGATAATAATTTTTATTTTGACTTTACTATGACTTAACTACAAGAAAATCTTTGGCTACATCTATTAGAACGATGAGAAATAAAATACCTTTATAATTTATGACAAATATACTGTATTTAATCAAATAAATTACATTTACAATTAAAAATAAAACCGACAAATAATTTCGACAGTGGCGCGGATTAAAAATAATTTCATACAATATTAAAATTGGACTATATTGGTTTTAAAATAAAACATAATTTTGCATGGAAATTATGCCTTGTGCGTTCAACACTAAGTCTCGATTGGAATCGGGAATGGAAATCAACAACAATTAAACGTCTAAATGCTTTGATTTTCACCTTAATATTAAAATTTCAATTTTATTTTACAATATACAAGAATAGAGTACGTACAATTATGTTTTCGTTACTTGAGATTATAAAGTTGGTAAAAAAACTGCGCTTGAAAATAAAAAATAATTTTAAAACAATGTAACTTTAGAAGCTACATAAGATTAGAAATGCGCAGGGGTGAGTGCACTAAAGACTGTTAAGTATACCTTTAAGATCTCTAGCACACAAATTATATAATTATCTACAAAACTCAAGGCTTGAAATGATTCCGAGACTTCGCAAGTCCGATTCACCAAATATACAAATACATGACAAAAAAACCGATGAGTTGATATATACAGATGTATCACTTAAAAAAACTAATGTTGCACAAAAAGCATGACAAAAACAATGCACCGTTGAAAACATACAATTAAATTTAACAAACAGTTATGACATAAATCTGTCCCATTTTACAATAAAACAGAATATAAAATGTCATGAAATCACTTTGGTTCAAATTATTTTGCCAGCTGGCAACACTGGCCAAAAAGCAAACACCCAAAGTGGTGAACTAAAAAATCCCAGTTTTTCGATATGCCATCACGTGTATCTTTGGAATCCATATCAAGCCAAGGTCTTACTATCAGTCAGGTGGGGGTCGGTTTAGGCAAGCCTGATGGACTGGATGATTTGGAAGACAGCTGAGCCGCACACTACGAAGATGAAGAGCGCTAGGAGCCACGGCGCGACGGGGTACTGGTCATCTTTTTCCTGGAAAAAAAGAAATAAAATATTAAAATATTGGAACAATATTTCTAAACTTTTAAAACAAGGTGAATCACTCAATATTCCCACCCTAGTTACAATAATTAATAAAAAATAGACTAATTAAGTAGTCTTCTTCCTAATGACGACCCTAAATGATTAGTAACTGTAATTATACTAATTGACTTTTTACTATTGTAAAATAACATTTGAAAGATAAAGTATTTCCTGGCTAAACTCAGGTAGGGTATAATGTATTATGTCAATGTTATCGACAAAAATGCCCCCATAATGTGGGCCTACCCCCCTCCTTTTGGAATGGGGGGGGCTTATGTGACTACACAAAAATGTTATTTATTTCTTATGTGCCCTTGAAAACTGAATTTTTTGACAAAAACTAAACTTTTTGATAAAAACGGCATGGGCCCACTTAAGGGGGCATTTTTGTCGATAAAATTGTCATCACAACATCGCCTTAAATTATCGCTAGCCCTATCCCAAACACACTGTATATTGACAAACAAAACCCTTAGAAGCGGTATACTGACTTCGCAGTGCAAGAGCTAGCAATATTTTTTTATTACCAGAATTTACACGACTAAATGTTTTTCTGAATCAACAAGCATGTCAAATTAAAGTAGCTACGTCGGAATACCAGTAACGCAGGTTGTGCGCAATTATTGATAAACACTGCCGATAACCTTCGATCGAATTAATACCTCTTACCAAGACAATACAGAACAAAATCGATTGGAATCCAATAAGAAAACAAAGCTTCGATGGCACAGGTGGTTTTAACTTATTGATAAATAAGTTGGTTTTATTGCAAATTTAATTCCTTGAGATAGTAAAAGCAGTAAGGTCAAACAAGATACAGTATCTCTTAAGAGAAAAAAATAAAGGTACACCCATTGTGTGATTTGAGACGTCACAACTTTAATGTGTCTAAAGATGTTTCAACTATTAATAATTACCAAGATTTATAAGCCAAATATTTAGAAAAAATATTACAATAATTCACATTAAATACCAGAAAGGACAATTAGATATTTTATTGATTGATTTCTCTATTTTAATCAGAATGTGCAATTAATTTATATGTATTGTGATGAACATACCAAAGAATATTTAACTTTGTGTATTAAAAGTTGAATTTACTATTAACAACAAATTATAATAAAAAAACATCGAGCATTGAGTCGTCAAGTGACCAGTAAATAAAATTGCCCAAAATTTGAGCGCTTCAGTGAAAGGCCCATGATTAGTTAAGTAATAGTTTTGCCACATAGCAAATTTGATGCAGGTCAACCATAACAAATTGCTCTGTGGTTTGTTTTACATCATTCAATTGTGACAGTATTTTAAAACATAATGCTACGTTCAAATCGTGAGAGTGACTGGACAATTCAGGCATTTAACTTATAAATATTGTTATGGTCTGAAGAGAAAAAAGTTTCCATGAAACTTTGTAAATTCACAACAAACTTGAATGTTCATTTATGTGAAATATTTCTATGGGACTAATGTCAGGTCAGCTAGTAGGATCAGTGTCAAACAGTTCTTGGCACTCAAAGTAGACAAAAATCCTAAACATGTCTTTGTTACAATTGGAAAATGACGATTTGTAAGAACTATTTATTAGTCTAAACAAATAAAGAAATTTTGACTTTGACTTTGGAATAAGGTTGTGTTGTCAACTTTTTGGCCACTTTGGGTGTCACCAACTATTTGAAGTTGACTGTAATAAATTGAAAATACATACCTTGGTGGTTTTTGGTACGTTCCCCCTCATGGTGATGTTTTTGCTGGCGATTTCGTTGGCGATACGCATCCTCTGCTTTGGGGCCATTTTGTTTGATTTGATTAGATATTTGTCCTGGAAAATACAAACAGTAATTGAATGGATGGTATTCCAAATAGTAAAACACAAGTTTATGTAACTTGTGGAACCCTAAGTGGTCACAGAAGACCATTATAACAATTGATTTCTAATGTTTTTTAGTTTTCTGGTACTTGAAGAGTTGTATGAAATTGTTAGTTGGTATTTTTATATTACATCAGTAACCTGTGAAGAATATAAAGATTTTGTTTTTATGGAGACACATGATTGATTAAACAATGAGAAGTGTTATTTGGAAAAAAACATTATGAACAATACATCTTCATAATTAATGAGTTGTAACATAAAAAATAGGTACAAACACTTTCACAGTAGAAATATTAGACATAAAAAACCCTACTTATCATGACTTAGACATGACTGAAAAATGATATCAATTTTAATAGCACAATCATGCTAATAATGTTTATGTAGGTAACTTACAGAAACAAATAAAATAGTAACTGTATTCTAACAGTTCCACAAAATACACACACTTTCACTATCGGGACTATACCGTCACTGCGCCTATACAAAATACGTGGCCTACAGTAAACACCTTGGCCAGTGATTACGATATCATTAATTTTCGAATATTAGCTGATTACCTTTAGATAATTAACGAAGTTTCACTTGGAACTACTTCAATGACGCCAGTGACACAAGAATTGTCGCAAATATAAAGACGAATAAACACAAAACACCATTTACACAGCTGGAAAGCTGTATGATGTTTTCCACTTTCTGTTGGATTATAATGGAAAAAAACTAGCTGTAAACTGATTTACGGCTTTTAATGATGTTTTTTTCACAGCACAAATCAAAATTTCACACTAAATCGAGCGTTCTTATCAATAATCACGTAAAATAGTTCACGAAAGTAAATATTTTTACAACACACTTTGATTGGTTTTCTCGCGTATTTAATAATTGCAGATCGTGGCAATTACACGTTTGAATTAGTTAATGGTTAAAATCGTGTTGTACTTACAGTTAAATCCTAAAATTAGAGGCTTTTAAGCCCAACGCGTTCAAGTTCGCTTGACACGTAGTAAAAAGTGAAATAACAAAACGTCAACACGTCATTTGACAGTGCTCAACGCGCAGGAGCGAATCGACACGCGTCAGGTTTGTGTTGCCAGCTTTATATAATGAAAGATTCTTCTTCTTCTTTTTTGTTCTTGGCAATACTCGTCGTTTTGTATAGTTTGTTAATAGTATTATTCCATAAACATACATCATATCTTATCATTTTCTTATTTATCTCCAAGTTACAATAAAATAATTATTTGAAAAGAGTAGAATAAAGAGAGAATGGTATAAAGTGCCATCTAGCGATGAGTAGATAAAACTTTTGGCTTCTTGACATGAATAGCAAAGCTATTAACCAATAGATGGCGTGAATAGTTTAACTTATAGTACTAAGTATGTATAATAGATGGCGTAGACACTTTGACTTATAGTACTATTTATGTATAATAGATGGCGTTGACAGCATAAATTATTGTACTAACTAAAATTATGTCATAGATGGCGCTAGTATAGTAACTTACAAGTTTTCTATCAAAGCTTTTTCAGCAGCTTATTTTAATTCAAGTAATTAGTGAAGTAGTACTTATTAAGAGTAGTGTTAATAGTAGTAATTTGTAATGGAACATGAGACACTTGTATTTTTTAGCTCGAACCACTAGGTAGGTACGTAAGATGATTCTTGTTATGTACCTGACCTATTGTTTTTTGTTATTATTTTTTAAATAAAATTCTAAAAGGCTCTTGATCTTGATCTTATTGAAATTATAATAAAGGAATTTTGTAAATAATCTTTATATTACCAGATACTACTGTAACTAAAAAGCTACTTACTGAACATCTTATAATAGGTACCCCACCATTTAACTCATAAATAAAAAATAAATAAAATTAATTCAACACAAAAACGTTCCCATTACCTTAGTAGTTGAGAAAAGACCACAACTCGTCCCTTTCCAACCTCGCCCTAAAGATAAAGACAGCAAATTAAAGAGAGACAGATATCTTGCGAAGGATTCAAGGATATCATTATCTCGTAACAAACCATTGACCAATCTGAAGAGGGCAGTATCCTTGGAAGGGAATCCTGGCGCTGTGATTGGTGCGTTGAGATAACTCCTAGATAGGGCACCGCCCATCATAGAATCCATTTGAATTTGAATTTCGAAGGGTGAACGACGAGCGGGAATTTTCTGTTGGTAACATTGGAATGTAAAGGTAGCTCACCAACTAGAAGTAGCAGTTAATAAAAAATATTCAAATTTTATCCTATTATAAATGGTGTTTTATGAGTTAATAGCAGAATAATATTTGAAGAACAGAGACGAAGGGAAATCTTTTATTTACCTATACTATGGTAGGTAACTGTACCAGTGGTAGCACCTCGACGGAAATTTCGGTATCAAATCTATTCATTAACATCATAAAGAAAACCTAATGCATGACTCTACATAATGCCCACGAGATCTTCCTTTTCTTCTTCTACTACAATAAAACTGAGGTAAAAAATAATGAAATTAACTTTTATAGTCTTTAGACAATAAACAACACCATCTGCCATGGTCCAATAAAAAAGACATAACGTGCTCTCCTAAGCGCGTAATCATTTTGAACAATCAGGCTGATTGATTTTCTAACTAAACTGGCTACAAATACACAAAGTTAAATAACACGTTAGGTTGAATCACCTGGGAATCGAACCCAGAACTGATAAACTCCTCATCTCTTAGCGTAGACCACGGAGACGTCTAATCCACAATGTATTTTAGTTTACACCCATTTATTTATTTATTAGTAAATTTAATTACCATAAGTACTCGTATGTGCTCAAACATTATTAATTTAATGAAATAATTAAGGTATGAACTTAATTATTAAAGCTCGTAATTAGTAGCTTCTTAATATGAAACGCGACACGCTAGATTAGCAAAATTAATTAACAAAGCAACACTTAATGAGCAGCCTTAGGAAATACCTACGTGATAATTTTACTTAATTAAACCTATAATAGTAATATTAGATTAGTAGCTAGTAGTAATATTGTAATCCTAATAAAAACGAAATGTGGCAACAAACCATTATTATGGTTTGCATCGTGAAAAAGTTGGCAGATCTCATGTTAAGCTTCTAACCTACTAATATTCAATCTATATAAACTACTGAGATCGTTCTGCCTCCTTCCAAAGGTTGCCCTAACTGGGTCCACATTGATCTGCTTAAATTGTAAGACCAGAATACTAATGTGGTGAAGCAATAAGTATTGAGTATTAACTCTATATGCCCTAACTTCACAAACTACACTTACCCCCTTACTAATAAAACTTACACGCTCGTTGAACAGTCTTTTAAAGTGACGTTTAGTATGGAAATGTCATTTTAAAACAGTGTTCAACAACTGTGTAACTTTTTATTATTAAGGGGGTTAGTAGTTAAAAGTGGCTTGGCGTTTTCGTTACTACAAGAACTATTGTTTAACAGAAAATTAATAAGACAGTGATTTTTTTATCATAAATGCCCATCCTTGTCACGTTAATACCACTTTAAATTAATATTTATGGAAGGGAAATTAAGATTCCGATCGCTCTGCCATGATTTTGGGCATCATTAATTTCGTTGCTGGTCTAATGACAGTTTGACTTTGTTAACAATTGTTAATGTAGGTTTTTCATTTCCATACCTTACTTAGTTCTTACTTAGTTTTAAAAGATGGAAAATTCAAAGAATTACCTACATATGAAAAATATGAACTGGTCTACATGTTAAATGCATGAAGGTAACCGTTTTTTCCTTGGGTCGATATAAAAAATGTAGTCTAACATTTTGCATTTCGCTCCTAAATTTAACTTTCACTTAAAGTATTGCAAATATTGTTTTAGGATAAGAATGGTGACAGGCGCCGATTTGGAGGAAAAAAAATGGCGAGGCACTACTCTTTTTTCTTTTTACAAGAAGGAATAGGTAGATATGAAGGCAGTTATACTGGATAGCTATAAATAATTGTGAGAACATGAACATTAAGTAGTTTCAATTATTTGCAACAATACTAGGATTAAATAAATAAGTATGTATTATGTAATAGGAAGATACATTAACGTGACACTTAAGTGTATGTAAAAAATATTTTACCGGACTATTCTCGTTCCCACTGCAACTCCTGTGTAGCCAGGATCTACAGCTTGACCGCCAATAACCCAACCAGCGAAGGTCAAGTTTGTCCCGTGGAAGGTTTAACTGTCATAAATACCTAGATAGTAAATAAATTGATTGATAAAAACTCTACTAATTTCCCCAAAGTCCTGAATCAAACTATGATGTTACAAATAAATAAAAGCTTCTAAAAACTTGCGTATTTTTTATTTTCATTCGGCTCCATCGCTATTTCCATTATTTAACTAATAAAGGACTCTTAAAAGGATTTTCCACTGTTTTGCCTTTATCTTTTAAGCCAAAAACTGACACAATTGTACTCGTGACAAATACTTAGCAATGCACAATACATTGCACAATACTTATTATTATTATAGTCTAAAAATGAAAGGACAAAATACAAGATCATAATCTAAGATTGCTGATACAAGATAACTTTAAAATGTCTATCTAATGTTACTTCAATAAGCCATAACGGCTAACAAAATGTATTATGTCTTTTCTGTTACTCGTATATAGGCCAGTAGAATTAAACACAAAAATTGATTAAATCGGAAATAATTCCTACAAAAGATTTTTTTGCTTTAATGGCTTCATTGGTTGCCCATTAAGACTCTCCTAAGTTTTCGACTTCGACGGAGTTGTGCTTAAGTGGTGGGGGCCCCCGAAAGGGGCGTTTTTTCGGTTTTCCGGTTATACCGCGTAAAGGACTTACCCTATCGAAAAGTGGTCTTCATGACGGTTAAAGGGCACTTAATCCTGCATTGAATAAGACCAAATTCATATGTTTTGGACAAACCGTTCTCGCNAAGTAGAATATACGTATATTTAATGACCCTCTCCACGTCCAATGGCTTGTTACCCACATGCTTCCAAGCCTTGTAAAGGGTCGCCTTAACCAGTGTAACCCTAACAAGGCTCACGAGTTTGATTCGCTTATCCTTGTTCGTCCTAGCCGTTCCTTAACTGCGGTTGCTGCACCTCTTCCTGGCACTCTCCTGTACGATTTCATTGCTTAGCCATATGCCTGGTCCAAGGTTCGACGCCACAAAATCAACTTCGTACGAGTGAAAATAGTTTAAATACTATTTCCCGTGCTTGCAACATTTTTCTTTACTGCTTCGCCTCTATTAGTCGTAGAGTGATTGTATATATCCTATAGCCTTTCTCAATGTATGAGCTATTCAACACAAAAATAATGATTTCAATCAAACTAGTAATTCTTAAAATTAGCGCGTTCAAACAAACAAACAAAAACTCTTCAGCGTTTTAATATGAACTTGTTGTTGTTGATTTATGGCGTCGAACCTTAGACCAGGCATACGGCTAGGCAACGTAGTCATGCAGGAGGATACAAGGAAGAGGGGCAGCCACAGTAGGTAACACAGAGTCGTTCAGGTGAGTGCCAGGAAGAGGTGCAGCAACCGCAGTTAAGGAACGGCTGGGACGAACAAGGATAGGCGCATCAAGCTCGTAAGCCTTGATAGGGTTACACTGGTTGAGGTGGCCCTTTTCAAGACTTGGAAGCCTGTGGGTAACAAACCATTGGACGTGGAGAGGGTCATTAATT